TGCTCAGTATTACTGATATCCGGAGTACAATCCAATATAATTGAAAAATATTTTGCCTTTTGAATTAACAATAAAATCTTTTCTTTAATTTTTTTAGCTAATAAAGCAATTAATTCATTCTGTACATCTATACTCATATAATGCACAGATTTCTTTTGTAACGTTTTTTGAAGATGACTAGACATAGTCACATCAAATTTTGCCAGTAATTGTACAAGTTGTAAAAAATGCCCATTATTTCTAACAAATAATTGATCTGATTTTCCTCTCAAGGGAAGACATTGTTTACATAAATATTTTATAATTTCAACAAATCTTTCTAAAATCGCACGCCAGTGCTGTTTTTCCAACTCAAATAATTTTTCTTGTTGTTGATCAATTGTTCGTTTTGATTTCAACGCACGTTCTAAATGAACCCATTGTTTAAAGTTGTTTAAATGAGCTAAAGATGTTTCATGACTATGTAAAGTTTGTGACAAATTTTGCCATTTAGAATATCCAGTTGTAATTAGGCGGCTTGTATTAATATTCTCCAATGAGTGACAGGTAAACAATTTACAGCAAAAACAAAATACGCTATTGCTTTTTTCCGAGTACATTAACCAGTCTCTAGGAACAGATTCCGAATTTGGCATTTTACGATAATAATATGTATCGCTGAATTTTCTTCCGTTATCGTCAGATGGGTACAATACGTTTTGTTTCTTTGTCGGTCCGAGTTGAATTAAAAGTTTTCTTACTTTTTCATTTATTGGAGGCCATGTAGCTGGATCTTGAAGATTGTTCAAAACATCTAATGTTGGTGTATCATCAGTAATCAGAAATTTTGTTGATGTGGATAAGGTTTCTTCAGAAGATGCTCCCTGCGGTTCGATTTCAGGTTCAGGAGATTTAGTATGTTGTGCGCTTTTGTCTGCAGAATGGCTTTGAGATGCCGGTAGTTGATCTTCACGTAGATTTTCATTCGAAGGAACTGGTAAAACTTCATTTTTTGTCATCAAATATTTCTTTATATCGTCTCTTTGTTTTTCCAACTCCAATTCTCTGGTCGCTTTGCGTTTTCGATTTTGATATCCGGAAAGTTTTTTCGACATTTTTAGGTGACAACTACAGGTTATTTTTTAATTTCATAAATTTAATGTAAATATAACACCTAACATAAACTTACCTATTTACGGATGAACAATTCACAAATAAACAATGGATTTCGAGAGGAGATACACTTTACACCCAGAGTACACAAACTAATGTGCAAATCTAAATAACAAGTCGAGTTGTTCTTTAGAAATCCCTAAACGCGACGCAACGACGCGACTATACGGCGACGCGACGCCAGACGCAGGGCTCCAAAAGAGCGCCTAGTCGTCGTATAGACTTTTTTTTAGAAATAATGTATACAAAATAATAATTATCTTAATATACCGTACATACATGCATATGAAAAATGCCAATATTTTATTATTAGTTATTAGTTATTATTATTATTGTTGGTGTAGAAATACAAGCTTATGTTGATGACATTGTCGTTATGGTCAAAGGAACCTGTTTGCCGAGGATATCTAAAGTCCTCCAGGTGACCATAGATATCATTTGCGCTTGGTGTAAGAGAGAGAACCTCTCAATAAACCGGCAAAAGACCATTCTTGTGCCTTTCACTAGGAAACGAAAGTTGGATGGACTAATCCGCCCAACTATCCAAGGTGAAGAAATTCCTTTCTCAAAGGAAGTCAAATATCTAGGAGTAATCCTAGACAAAACCCTGTCATGGAATGGACATTTGCAGGGAGTTTTGCACAAAGCTAAACTATCCTTGTGGACTTGTCGCAGTTTTTGTGGAAAAAATTGGGGTCTTACCCCTGAAAGACTGTACTNCGAGAGAGAATGGAATAATAATGTATTTTGTCTTACAGTTGTTGTATTGTGATGAAAAAGAATATTTAAATTTTAATTTGGAATTATAAATAATTTTATATATATTTTTTATCCTTTTTGTTTTCATTGCTAAGGGGCTCCTATAAAATCAGCTTGCTGTGGTGTCCCTTTTGATATTCATTTACTTTTTTTTTCTTTTCTTTTTTTGTACTACCTATTAAGTTTCGTTTTCTTTTTTATTGTTTTTGAATGTTTTTGAGTGTTTTTCCTTTTTGAAAATTAGTTTATTTTTTTTTCTTTGGTTATGTTAACTTGATTTTGTAATTGAATATCAATAAATGGTTTATTATTATTATTATTAATGTTTCAAATGCTTTACCCCATGTAAACTCCATGTCTTTCTTGAGAAGGACGCTCAATGGTTTCGCCAGATCAGTATATTGCGGAATAAATTTTCTAAAATAATCAGTGAGCCCAAGGAAACTTTGTAAGTGCTTGTAATCTCTGGGTTGAGGAAAACGAAGCATTGTCTCTGTTTTTCCTAGATAAATCTTATCTTTTTCTATCACATGTCCCAAAAATTCGACTCCCTTCTTTAGAAATTGACATTTTTTCCAGTTCAATTCAAGGCCATAGTCTTTTGCAGTGTCAAATACTTCCTTTATGTAGGTTAGAAACGGCATTCTCTTCATCATTTCCAAATCTACTGAATAACAAATCAGGAATCTTTAATTCTGGGCTTTCAATTTCTTGATGTACTTCTTGTACAACTTCTTGTATTATATTAACTTAAGATTCATCATTTTCGCAGTGTCTAGCCTAAATCCATGTGTATTTAAACTTTTTAAAAACATTGGTATTTATTGAAAAAATCCAACTCGTGTTTGGTTCGATACATGAAGATTCATCGTATCTANTATTTTCATTTACTACAGGAATTGTGTAAAGTAACTGGATTGCTTATACTTATTTATTTTCTTCATTTTTTCCTTTGTGATTCAGTCACCTTGGCCATAAATCACATCACCCCGCTTGTCTGTTCGGAACTTTTACAACACTACAGAGCAGGTAAAACTTGGATTGAATGCCTCGTGAACGTAAGTCGTTTCTAGTACAATTTTATGCCTCTACGAGCGGCTCTTTTCGCATTATATCTGAACAGAACTGTACAACTTCTTGTATTATATTAACACCTCTTCGGGTATTTATAACCTTGTTTGTTCTTTTGTCAAATTCAAAAATCATCAAGATTCATCATTTTCGCAGTATCTAGCCCAAATCCATGTGTATTTAAACTTTTTAAAAACATTGGTATTTATTGAAAAAATCCGACTCGTGTTTGGTTCGATACATAAAGATTCATCGTATCTAATTAACATTCTCGGAGCTAACCCCGATTAAAAATTCAATTGATTGTAAATCAATTCTCATGATTCAATTTTTAATAACATTATACGTGTACTACATTCTCATTTTTCCACTCACATTCTGTTCAGTTCTCGTTCAGTTGAATTGCGTTCAAAATGACCAAATCACTCGGTTTTTACCTTTTGGAACAATATTTCCTAAAATACCAGTGTTGGCCCACATCGCAAGGTTTTCGACGATTTGGACCAATTATTTTGATGGGTGTTAATGTGGTTTGGGCAATTTATCCAATACTAAAAGAAGTGACAAGTAAGATATAAATATGTTTATTTTTTGTGGGTCATTTTGCTTTTTTATGCTTTTAGATTATAAAACGAATTTTGAGATAAGTTTGTTTCATACGACGTTTATAGCGTTGGGGGCGCTCCTTATATCTCTTAATTTGCATTTATTGTGCAAACAAAATCGTTTATTGGAAATGATTAATTTGTTAAGTGATTTTAATCGGTACGGTATTCCGAAAAGATTTGAAATGATTGAAAAAAATATGAAATTTGTGTTAAAAATTTGTAATTGGGGGATGTTCGTTTTTGCGTTTTACCTTACATACGCGATTATGTTGAAGGGTGAATGCGCAACTTTTAGGAATACGAAAAATTGCCTAATGTTTGAATATTACATCCCATTTGAGTTGAAGCAATGGTCAATGACGTTGTTAATGTTATTTCAAGTGTATACTATGAAGTATACAACGAACATTTTTCTGCTCGTAATATTATTGTATTGGTATAGTTTGGAATTAATAATTATACGAATAGAACATCTTAATGAGTTGATTAATAACACAAGTTTAACCAGAAATACGAAGAAAAACTTTAAAATCGTGCGATCTGTTGTTTCACAACATCAATACATTTTCAGGTAATTTTGGAAATTATTTCATCATTTAAACGATTTTAACCATAGCGGTTTCAGAGTGTTTCAAGTCGTTGAAAATTTCTTTTCTGGCCTCCTTGTAGCAACAAAAATATTAGGTTTGCTTTCTTTAACCACATCTATAACCGTATTAGCTCTGGTTTGATTTTAATTTAGTGCATAACTTAATTAATAAATCTAATACTTTTAGAGGAAAGACTTAGTAAACTTGTCCGTGACTGTATTGGTTTTGTTGTTTTCATTTCTATGCTATGCAGTTGGGCAAAGATTTACTACAGCGGTATGAACACTGTCTTCTTAATTAAATTAATTAAATTTAACATTTGACATGAATAGGCTGATAGTGTTGCGGAAGCAGTTTACGACATGAATTGGTACGAAGCGGATGTCTTAACAAGAAGAAATGTGTTGATCTTGCTTACCATGTGTGAGAAGCCACTTAAATTGGAAGTTCCTTTGTTTGGGGAAATATCACATCTAGCATCAGCTAAAGTAAGCTATTTGTAATGATTGGATAATTTAAAAATTTTAAAATGAAATCTTTTATTGAAGGAGTACAAGAGAGTTTATATTTTTTATAATTGGATAGCAAAAGTTACTAATTCAAACTTTTAAAATTAATGTTGATCAATTTAGATTTAACTTAGATTTAGATGTCGATATGCTTAAGGATACGTCCGAAATCGGACTACGACTGAAAGGAGAAAGAGAGAGAGAGATAGCTAGGAAGACTGTAAGAGAAGACGTCTATAAAAACTTGCAAGATGTTTTAGACGAAAGCAATGATAGTAATGAGCGATTACAATGCACGAATAGGGAGTTGATGGTGTACCTATGATCACTCAAGACCCTTAGGATTATTAACACGTTCTTTAGCTAACCACCATAATATGGAGAGAAATGTTTGATAACAGAGATAACATCATTGATAAAGAAATTTTAACAAAGGAAAGAAACCAAATGACACAATACTTGAACTAATAACTAAGATTGTCAAACAAATTATAAGCTTTCCAATGCAATAAACTGATTTTCAAAATATCTTTTAGTTTTTGTGATATTAATTTTTAAATATAAGACATAGGTATACTCATTTTTCGTGTTAAGTGACAGTTTTCACAATCAAATTAATATATAACTATCTAATTTCGAGTGATATATGATGTTGTATATGTTGGATACAAAATTTTGAGATATCTTAAGAAAACGCAAACTTTATTTAACCCAATTTCATACAAAAATTGATGCAATTCAAAAAATCGCCCAGACTGTATTTGTTAAAACTAAGTAATGATTTGCACAACAAATTAAAGCTAATACTATCTATTTTAAGATGGTATATAGTAATCTATGTGATGAATACCTAAAATTTTGAGATTTATTAAGAATACGCAAACTCTATTTAACATATTTTCATAGAAAAATTGACAAAATTAAAAAAATCGTTTAAACTGTATTTATTAATATTATGTAATGATTTATACACCAAATTGAAGATAAAACTATCTAATTTTGAATGATATATGATATTGTATATGTTGGATATCTCAAATTTTGAGATATGTTAAGAAAACGCAAACTCTATTTAACCCAATTTCATACAAAAATTGATGCAATTCAAAAAATCGCCCAGACTGTATTTGTTAAAACTATGCAATGATTTGCACACCAAATTAAAGCTAATACTATCTATTTTAAGATGGTATATAGTAATCTATATGATGGATATCTAAAATTTTGAGATATGTTAAGAATACGCAAACTCTATTTAACTTATTTTCATACAAAAATTGATAAAATTCAAAAAATCGTTTAAACTGTATTTATTAATATTATGTAATGATTTATACACCAAATTGAAGATAAAACTATCTAATTTTGAATGATATATGATATTGTATATGTTGGATATCTCAAA